TCGTACCGGCCTACGTTCGACCAAAAGTTTTCAACCAAAATCGAATGAAAGGGCAAAACCTTTTCGTATTAACCAAATCAGTGGTGGATACTACTCATCTCCTGAGGAAATTTTAGAATACCCGGAAGACATGTTTCCTTCCAACCATGAATTTTCTGACCAGGATCCTGAGTATTCGGATGACAACTCTACTGACGACCATCAATCTTTAGATGGAAACATTGAGACTCCCAATTACAAGTTAAATGAGTTATCTGCGAGGCCTAGTCACATCTAAACCCGCACTCATCCTTGATACAGGAGCAGATGCCAACTTTACCTTTTCTTTCCTCTGGCAGAAACAACAACCAGTGTCGATTAGCTCGATTACCATTATTCCCATGGATACTCGTAACTGCCGCCCAATTAGTGTTTCTCCAGCATTTGGTATCTCCAATGTTATCACGAAACAGATAAAACTAAAAATCTCGTTCAACCACCTACAATCAATCACCGATTGGTTCTATCTACTACCTCAACAAAAATATGGAACTTTCTTAGGAAAGCCCTTATTACGCCGCCTCAACTACTCTTTAACCCCTGACTCAGAAACCTTACTTCTCAATAACACGTTAATAAAGGTACCCTCATCTCCTCAAGTCAGTTCTACCTCCACTTCCTTGATAACCAACCCGAATTAGATTTGCAACATTGGGATCATATCGCTACCGATATTAAACTTGAGAACCTTTCGTTAAATGCTACTACTCATCACGCTAATACCATTCCTTCTACCCGACCACACCAGTCACCTTCCGAACCTCCTCCTATTGAGACTACACAAGCAATGCCAGATCATACTACATCAGTTCCCCGCCACGCAAGACGTGAAGTACACCGCCCAGCGATACATGACTTCCAACCACTTGAACAAAACGAAGGAACAACACCACTTCACCTGTCTCCTGATCCTCTCGACGCAATAACCGATACACAACTGGATCCTGGCATCGTCATCCACAACATCGATAACCTGAACTGGCCTGACATCCTCCTCATTAAGGAACTACTAGATACACATTCTAGTGATATACCGGACAGACTTTCGGAAACTATCCAACAGTTCCACTTGATCAATGAGGTGTTGTACGCTCTACGTGACCATACATTATATCGTGTGATTGTAGATTTTGACTACTTACGATTAGCGAAGCAATATCACCGACATTTCCACTGCTCACATAGAGTTCTCCAACTTATGTTAAACGCTGACCACTATTGGAACCCAAACTCATCGTTGTTAACCCTCGATGTCCTACGAACATGTGGTCATTGCGACGTATACCAAAAATTTAGAGATCTACAACCTGAATTACCGGATTTTCAACCAGTACATGTATTCAGCCGGTGGCACCTCGATTTTGCAGGACCTTTCCCATCTTCGAATAGGAATTCCTATTTCCTAATTGCAGCTGATTATACTTCCAATCTGGTAATGGTTAAACCTTCGGAGTTTCAAACTACCGAAGTAGTCATTAACCTATTGAAAGATCTCATATCTCTCTTTGGAAAACCAGACATGATAATTGCCGACAACGGTGCTCCTCTACACAATGCATTTCTAGATGATTTCGCAAAGAAAGAGATGGGGTTCTCACCATCAGAAGTTCAATGTCTAAGATATTACCTAATGCAGTGAAATTGCTGGATAGAAATTGAATTGCCCCGAACAATTCGTACATGGCATCAGTCCATGAGAGGGGATGATTACGAGCATTCGTTAAACGACGTTCCATGTCATTGTCACAAAGGACGATCAAGAAAAAGGACTAGTCTTGGAAAGTGACTTGCTTACTAATAAGTATACGCTGAATTAACTGAATCTGGTATTCTAAATCCGAATTCGAAGCTAGTAACATGTTGCTTGGAATGTCCAGCTTGACCTCAGCATAGCGTTTTGTACACCGGGCAAGCTTTGGGGATGCAGCGTCTAAAACAAGGCCAGGAATGTCACTCTGAATACAAGTAAGGGTACCAGCAGTCTTGTCTTGACACACTGGGGGGTCATCGTGCAACTTAACGTGAGCTTGTTGTTGCTTGAGTCTCTCATCTTGTTGATTGAAACAAGCATTCAAACCTTTGACAGTGGTTGATAGATCTACGAAGGCCTTGGCAAAATCTCCAAAGGTGTGCGCAGTCTGAGCTTCTTCAGTGTGAAGTTCATTAATAATGTTTCTAGAGTACCTTGAATTGATTGCAATGCTTTGGTCATTTGGGCTTGGTTAGCGATTAGGAAATCAATCTGAGATTGCATATCTGTCTCGTTGACGTCTTCTTGTTTAATGGTAGGGTTAGACATTATTTTTAGTGAGAAGATTGCTTACGAAATTCAAATTGGTTAAGAGTTTATTTGGATTCACAAAATTTTTTTTTGTATTGTTTGGTCTATATAGATGCTTTATAACTGTTATTATTATGTATATTAACTACAACAATATGGTGGTCGTTCTGTTCGTTAATAAGTAAATGCATTAATAGTAAGTACTATGTTAATTATCTATATTTCGTATATTCTATTCTTTATGTTACTAGGTATATTATATAAGTACATGTTGCATGTGCTATCTTTGACTTAGTTCCATCTTATATTTGTTGTTCTCGCATCGACATTTGTTGATGTCCGTACACGATGATAATTATTATAATCGTGCGGCTGAACCTTAAAGTCCCAATTAATACATAGAATGCCTATCGCGAGATTATCTGTTATAATATATGAAGTGGCATTACTTCGTTATTTAACATTTTACATGATGTTCTGGAACATTCTTTAAGAATATTAGTACGCACACTATCAGTAGTTGGTAGCTTTGCCACCCTTTACCAAAAGTATAAAAGGGCGACATATTCTAATACTTATGTATATTATTTCTATTTCTTACATATACTTTATATAACATATAAGAAACTAAAAGAATACATTTGAAAATCTATGTCCATGTCCGATACTTCAAACCCAAATACTAATCGTACTTTCTCAATTTCCACTTACGTTTACATTATCCCAGTTGGACTCTAATCCAACATATATAAAACCATGATTATTTAGGATAGAAATCATTATATCTGTCTTTTTTCTTTTAACTTTATATAATACATAAAACTTGACTGACGGAAATAATATGGTATGAGTATATCTGAAATGTTTTACCAATAACATGGAAAGATCACGAGAAAATTACGTAATAGGATATTACGTAAGCACATTACTGATGCAACAGTAGATGTTTATTACTAATGAACCATTGCGTAAGGAATATTACCTAATAAATGAGAAGGTAATTTAAAAAAATTAAAGTTATATAAATACGGGTCAATCTGAACTCACAATTTGAGTTAAAATTTATTCGTTCTGCATATTAAATAAGAAATAAAAAATCACTTACAAATTTAGAACAAAATTAACTCATACATTTGCTTTACAACTTACTATCACTGTAATAATCATCATTACTCAGCAATACTTATTTAATATGCAAAACCAATCTGAATCTAACATCAATATGTCTGCTTCAGCTCAAGGATAATAATAATATATACATTTTTGTCTAACGAAATCCGAGTATCGAAATACCACGTGGATTCGTCTAACGAGGTAGTGTTATGTCGAAGTTAAAATTATTAATTTGTGTGGTAGATTAAGCATAAGAAGTCTTGAAGATACCTACGGACACTATTACGGTATATGCCATCTCTGATACCAATTAAGGAGTTGCACGGTTTATATTAAGTATGATGCTTGTGCGTGAAGGTGTCAGAAACTGAGGGTAGTATGGGAATACTTAAATATGTGAGAATAATGTAGTAATTGGTATACGTTTACTGAGTGCCAGAACTATGTATCTGAATTAAACATAACTATAAAGCTAGAATTAAAAGAATCAAAGGAGAATGAAATATCTACCTCAGATTCTCTACTTCATCTTTCGACTTAAACGCAGAGATTGAACAATGAGAAATAGAAGGGTCTTTTATATAGAGGTGCTCTCTATCTCGACTAACTGTTGTGATGTCCAGAAAGACACGTCCCTCGTTGCTTAGGATCACCATACTGGCGTATCCCATGTGCAACTCAGCAACCAATGACCAGTAGCGGCCTAGTTGGTTTATTCGGCGAGTCATAGGTATTTACTCTTCGTTCCTTTCTGAGTGTTATGCTCATTGAGCTGTCCTTATCGCTAAGGTTGCTAATGCCATTTGACAAAGTGTCAGTAATGTCTAATGAAGTTTACTGATCTTGGCCATGTGATAATTCTATTGTCAGAAGTTATCACCAATGAGTAACTCCTTTAGACTTAACTGCACGACAATGTAAACGTAAGTTGGAAGTTGAGAAAGTACGATTAGTATTTATTGAATATTTTCAGTGTTCATCTTGCTAGTAAGTATTCAGAACTATTAAAAACCTTTTATTACACTTCAGAAAGACTTAGATCGTCCTCCTCTTAAATCTATATAGTAAATACATAGAAGGGGTGAGAAAATAGATCCATATCTGGGCCATGTTTGCTCTCTTTATATACTAAATTGTAATTCAGTCGTGATTATTCTCTTCACATTTAATCGAGGGTACATGCTAGTAATGCCTTATTTTTCCTTTGTTTTATTATAACGTAGCTGCAATAATAACTTCCAACAAATTATTCTCTCTGTTGAAGAACGGACAAAAAAAAAGCCGTTCGCGCATAATTTCGTCTTAAGAGCGGCATTCCCTGAAAGGGCTCCAGACGACACAAAAGTAAAATGGAAAAGTATAAAAATCGTCATAAATTCTCTGATATCTCAAAATAATTTCTCTTTTAAGTTTTCTTTTGAAGTTTTCTTATTTTTCATTTACTTTTTTTAGTTTTCATTTTGCTTTTGTTTTTTGTTTAATATATTTCAAATGTACTAAGGTTATTACTATTATAGTTTTATCATTACAAGTAATATTAATAATATTAATATTTAAATATTCCAAGATGAGCTCACAATTAGAAAAACAGGATTTGTTTAGTACATGCACAATTGTGCCTTTTGGTCGCAACGCTGGTGAATTCCAGTTAAATGTTTGTTGCTCTATGGGGCCGGAGTTTATTAATAAAAATCTACCAAATTCAACCGACGACTGGGAGTCTTACATTACCGAATGCAATGGTTCCGTTACTTTGTTAACTATGAACCAAACTGACAATAAGTATATTGAAGCTATGAAGTGTTACAACCAATGGAATGAGTCTAATCCAAATTGCATGTTGCTTGGAACATTTGAATTAACATGGTTTGGTCCTTGTGATGAAAAGTGTAATTCACCTGAAAATAAAACGTTGAGTTGTACTATTACAGGAAATATGCTAATTATTTCTGGCGATATTCCTGAAATAAATATTATGCTCCAAACAATATTTACACCTTCACTTGTTGAATCATATGGTAATTTAAATTTACCTATGTTTGGCATCTGTGATACCTTGATTAAAAATTTAAATGGGCATGTCAAATATTTTGAAAAGAGAATTAGGAAAGAAACTGAAGAGACGGCATATAAAACATATTTATATAGTCGTTCTACAAAGAAATTTTTTGTGGAGTCCAGAATGCATTTATTAAAACTGTCAAAAGCAGTTGATGAATGCGGTGAATTCATTTTGTTGTTGAGCAAAATGTTAGTTGATAACAAAATAACAGACCACAAGTTCAATAACGAAAAATTTGTCGAAAAAACACAAAACCGAATTGCAGAGTTATTTATTGTCCTTAAAGACCTTAAAGAGGTACAAGAGATCAATAGAGCTAAAACTTTCGACTCTATTGGGAAAATAACAAAAACTTCTAGTTATTTACTTGCTGTGGTGTTGGTAGCTATTGGGTTAAAACAAATATGCCCCATCCAACTCTCAAAAATAATTATTACCAAAGATCACCTATCATTTGTAATAATTATCGCAAGCGTAATCTTTGTGCTGCTAGTATTGTTCCATTTTGGGAAGGATGGTCTGGCTATACGACTATATAGATATAAACCTGTAGGAAACTTTGATAAAAAAAGAATAGAAACTGTTTAAATATTTTAATAACTACTAGAAATTCCTCAATAAAATGTTTGCCTACTTTGTAACGTAACTATTAAAGTATCTAGATATACTTGCAAGAAATACATTGACTGTGTATTGTTTTGACAATGCAGATTTAAAATAAAATAGCGCATAGTGCGATCATCAAAATTAGTGAATAAACAACGATGAGATAAAAAAAGAAGACATTTGAAAGATATGTAGATTAGATAACTGTTGTATAATATTTGTAAATATAGAGATAGATATGCATATTTTACTTCAAATACTTATTATTACAACTATACCTTGAAAACCCCAATTTTTATAATTTTAATACAAGTAAAGGAACAACAAATATAGGCGAAACAATACAACTGCAATATAATTTTCCAAATAGCCCATCTCAACAGTTTGCTTTCGTATTGGCTGAAGATTTTATAAAACTTCAAACAGGTAGTTGAGTGTTACTATTTCCCTTTAAACTTCTCGGATTCTTATTGCTACTAATCTTTCCAAGTGCATTTCCTTCTGTATCTTTTAAATCTGATTGACAATTACATTCGCTTTGAGTTTGTGAGTACATTGGTAGACCACGAAATTGAGCATTATAACTACTGCGATAAATGTTACCAACTGGAAAATAACAGTTGTATCTGTTAAAATACATATCTGCCCAAACCCAAGAATATTCTAGCGCCGGTGGATCCTTAGGAATAAGTTCAGTGTTTGAACGACATCTACAATCTGATACCAAATATCTCCTCATGTCATATAAAAATTCTTCCCTAAGGTAAAAGTATTCCTCATCGGTCACATCCACGTTGGGTAGACGCTGTCGGTATAAAAGCCGGTCTCCAGCAATGTTGAAAACTAAAGGTCTAAGAAGGGCTTCATTGAAAGCGTATGGTGTATAAAGGCGCGGTTCATTGCTAGCTCTTAGAAGGGATGTTATGTTGTCATACATATGTTTTATGTTATGTTGAGAACAACCAATGAACAGAATGGGGAAATATTCCAATGGTTTTGGAACAATGTATAATTTAACCTTTTTACGTTTCCTAATTTTCACCGTTTTATGCCAACCCTCCTCCAATTTTGTTTGGTTTGCGTCATAGTTTAATGCTGTAAACATTTCAAACCTCTCTACGATTTCTGGCAATACCCTAGCACTAAATTTTTTTAACGGGTATTGTGAAGAGCTGAATACTTTCCATACCTTCCTCTTTATTGGAGAAGTAAGGACTATGTTCTTACTGTTATCACTACCGACCACTAGTAAAACTGATTTAAAAAAAGGCTTATAGAAAGGTTGTAAAGGAATAGGGATCCATTTCAGAAAAGAACCATACCCATTTTCATTCTCGTAAATTAGACGTTCTTTTCCCTTTATTGGTCTCCCATTTGTTATAGATTTGCCATATCTTGTCATAAGATTAGTGGCAATAGTATCAAACTCGGCTTCATTAAATGCAGTAAATAATGGCTTGGATGTGAAATTGGTTCCTTTTAGAATGATGTTGTCATTTATTTCGAAAGCATCCATTTTTTTCAGGTCAACTTAGTGTGAGGATATGATCTTTATTTAGGAAAGCAACGGTTCAGATTATATATTTAGAACAAATGGAAATGGCAGAAAAAATAATCTTTCTGGTAATATTTATATAATAATTCGTAAAAATTTGTAATTGGGATAGGGTAAAAAGAAAGAATTGTAGAATAACGTAAGCAAACATAGTTAACGCTCCATCTACCTTTTGGTAGATGATTTTACCTACCACACAACCAATATATATAGTGCGTTGTGTAAGGCAACATCATCTGATGTTACCCAAATGCAAACATATCATAGCTGTTTGCAATGCTTGTTATTAATAAATAACTTCCATCCCCTACAGAGGTATAATGGGGAACATTTTCTGTCATTAATATAGAAATGGTGTAAATTTTGACATAACAAAAGTGCGGCATTACAAATGCGTGATGACGTCATATCATAAGTAAAAGGGTAAATCAAATTGTTCAAATGACACCTTTTTAAAGAGAGATCAGATCATTATGTAGAGAATCTGAAATAGAATCTATCATTTTATTTGGACCGTTAATTTTTCATTTGTTAGTCACCTCTAATTCGGATATCTTTTGAACAAAGTTAGTGGTTTGACATGTAGGTTACATCGTATAAAAAATAAAGTATAAAATCTTAACTAATTAGTGTTTCGCAGTATTGGTTTCATATATGAAGTAATGTTGTTTTGTTTTTTTTGGTACGTTCCCTGTAAGTTTTATGTGTTTCCTATTCTTTTTGCTGAAGCCTAATTCTCTATAGAGCAGTAGCATAAGCTTTTTAAGAGCAAAGAAGTAATAAACGATACAACAAAAAGTCAGTAGTTAAAGATAATAAAATAGGCCTATCCGACTTGGTCTGAGATGAAGTGATTCTAGTACGAACATGGAAACAAACGAAAAGCAAACATTTATAAGGAGTATGGATTATCGAAGTAAAAAATATCTATGTCCTAAATCTTATGTATATTAAATTTCTGGTTTGAGAGAGAACCACGGAGAATAACTTGTATAATAATACTAAGTAACTTTTAATAAAAATAAAATATACAAAATGGATTATGCACTACAAGATAATGCTGCTAGTAATGCAAATACTCATCAGTTTTCAATGTTTTTTTTTCCATCTTTTGAATGATTTATCTTTCTTTCAGGGGCTTCTCGCGCTTCTCACACAAAAAAATAGCACTCAATTGGATTGTATTCTAACCTTTTAAAGCTGGGTTTGAAAATTCGCCAAACCAACAGACATCAAAAAGAACATCTTTGAAGCATTGCAAAGCTATGACACACTACTTACCATTCTGTCCTCAATATATAAAAACGTATAAAACGGCTCCTTACGAGAGTATAACTGTTTCCAAATGGAATTCTCAGATGAGATTTTCAATAGCCGCTGAACACCTAGCGACAGGTGATCAATGTCTCTTCCTTCCCTCTACAGGTAAGAAAAGTATTACAGTATGAACATTTCTGATATTATTTCATATTTACTTTTGAACTAAAGTATCCCATTTACTAACACTATATCCTTTCCAAATTTTCGTTTTGTTTCTTTGCAGATTCTCATCCAGATAGAATTTAATAACCAAAAGTTGACAGAAAGAGACTTACAAAGTATTAGAATGCAACTTGGCGGAAAAAAAGATTTTTGGGAGTCGATGTATTTCAAAACTCATATTGACATAACTAAAGAGAAAGATATTATAATGCTGTTAGAGTGCCGCCTTTGGACACAAAGCAGGATCAATGTCCTTTTGGAGTCTGAACGATTTGAAGGTTGTAACGTCGCAGAGTCAACCAAAATAAATTATATTGAAGAGTTAGTTGTAAACGTTTCATTCAACTCGACAAATCCTTTGGAGAAAGAAATGGATTCTCTTAGATCTCATCTAAGAGAGTATATGTCTTCTTTAATATTATCGCAGCTTGAATTTAGATTTCCTTTGGTATTCTCAAGAGTTGCTAGAAAGCGTGTAATAGAACAGGAGAACTCTTTCTTAGTTATATCACATGCAATAAAAGGGGATCCATCACTCATTTTGAAATTTATAAGACTTGTTCATAATGATCAGACTTCGCTTAGTATATTCCAAATACTCTCCTCAAGTAAATTTCGTGTGACATTTGAAATAATTTAATATTTGTATACGGCCTTGTGCACTTTTTAATGAAATATTTGGAATTTTTTGTTCAATCACTCCGTAAATTCTTTTCTTTTCCATATATTGTCAACCATAACAATAGCATCTTCATCAAATGTTTCTTTTAGGTCATCTAAGAGAACTTTTTTATTTCGGTGTTCTAAAATATTTTCAAAAATATAATCTACCAATTCATCTTCATATACACCCAAATATTCTTTTACCAACTCATCGATATACTTTGATGCCCTTAATTCATCAAGACGATTCGATAAATCTTCGTCACTAAAAGGTAGTATATCGGCCAGCCCTAGATTGGATTTAGGTTTGTCTATTTGTTCCTTATCATCGATTTCGTTTTCTTCCATTTCCATTTCTTCAGGTCTGCTCTTTGCCGAATTATCAATAGCTTTCTTAAATGCGAATTTTATATTAATGACATTACTTTCTTGTTCTGGATTTTCACTCGCAGCCCCCGAATCTTCACTAGTAGTTGTAGTCTTTATTGTTCTGGAAACAGGCATATTTACATTGTCACCTATCATTTCCCTGTCTTTCTTATCATCCCTTTCTTCTAACTCTTTAAATGATCTATGGTTATCGTATAGCTCATCATTACCAAGAGTAGCAATTTCTTTCCTGTTTAGTGATTCATTTTCTATCAGTGTTCTTTCATAATATTTGGCTTTCTGTAAATCTGCATGTTTTTTAAGAAGTTGTGGTTCTATTTCCCTATTTAATACAGTTAAAAGTTCCTCGTACCTTCTCTCAGACTTAAGCTTTTCGTTCTCAATAGTATTCTCAAAAACAGGAATTAATACATCTTCTTCTTCTACTTCTTCTTTATTGTCTTTCGCAGTATTTCTTTTGATGCCAGTTTCTGCATTATTCATCTTTATTTTATCAAACATTTTCATCATATGTGATCTCTGTCTTTCCCTTTCATTATAAGTCTCTTGACGGTTTTTCTCTTTTTCGATTGTAACAACTCTTGTTCTAAACTCAATAATATCTTTACAAAGTTGATCTAAATCATCACGAGGAATATCATTTAGGGTATTCAGGTCGATCTGATATTCAGTCGATATCTCGCTACCGTTGTCGCCTTCAACACTCTTAGGCTCTTCACTAGCTTCTTTTATCAAGGTAGACAACATTTGACGATCTTCAGAACTGACGCAAAATTTAGGTACACTACTGGTCGTAAATTTTTCCTGAATGAAGGTCTCGACATTTGAATCATAATGGACCTTTAATATGTCCCCAAAGAGGTCGCATAAAAAGAAAACAATTTGTGGGTATATCAACAAATCAATACAAAAACGAACAAAAATATTTTGTTCAGATATACCTGTAGAAAATACATCACACCATGTTTCAATAAGGTTATTACTTTTAAAATTTTGACTTTGTGAGTCCTCGAGATGACCAAGAGCCAATTCCATCACTTGAGACAGAAATTTATCAATGCTCGTTTTGCTGAGAATTGAGTTGAATCCAGTTATAGAAATTGTATGCAATTGTTGTTTCAAAGAAATTGGGAGAAACTGTTTTATAGGTTGATATTTAGAATCTGATTTACCTGCATTCTTGCTTTTTTCAGATTCTTCACTCGGTTTGTCATTGGACGTTACTGTTTTGGGATCCTTAGATCCGACATTCACTGAACCTTTTGATATACGTGTCTTCCCGTTTATAGAATTTACCTTATTTTTATCTACGATTCTCTGCAAGGAGTTCTGCAGTTTCTGTAAATCTGTTCTTAGTATTGGGATATAACCTGTCTTTTCCTCATCACTCCTCCAGTCTGATTGAGAAATCAGATATTTTTGAGGACACACGAATACAACGTTCTCCATTTTCAATTATCGTAGATGTGATGCTATGAAGATATGTATATAGGTGTATATCTTGGTATTTATTGTTGTGGTTTTTGAACTAGTGATGAGGGTCCCTTTCATTAGACACTGATATTTTTTAGGTTTGCATAATAAACAGTTTAATAAATTATTTCAGTTTGAAAATCATAAAGTACGAGGCGAACCACAAGGCGTATTTATCTGTCCGAATCGGGCTGAAATTTATAAGTTGGAAATGTAGTTAGTTACAGAGGTGAAATATACTCCCCACGTATAAACCAATAGAGGGAACCATTATACCAATTAGAAGAGAAATAGGGAGTTTGGAAGAATAAAAGGCAAAAGTTTCCAATTATTTAATTTATATTATATTTGAAACATTCGGACTCTTTATTGCGGTGTCTGTAAGCAATTGAGACGATATATATAAAACGCAAAAAGAAAAAAAGGAGATTATGTCAGACGTCGAGGTGTTATTGACAGTTGGTAAACTCGATGCCTCTTTAGCTTTGTTAACTACTAAAAATCATCATGTTATTGAGTTTCCAACTATGTTATTACCAGAGAACGTTAAAGCTGGATCAATTGTTAAGTTGAACATTTCTCAAAACAACGAAGAAGAAAAGAAAGAAAGAACGAAATTTCAACAAATTCAAGAGACAATTCTTGAAAAATATGGTACACATAAGCCTAAGGCACCAGTTTTGAAAGTGGTTAATGTTACACAAACTAGTTGTGTTCTAGAATGGGGTCAATTAGACTTAGGATCTGCAAGATTAAAATCATTGATTCTATACAGGCAAGGTGTTCGTTCTACAGTTATCCCTAATCCATTCAAAGTTACAACCACTAAGATATCTGGTTTATCAGTAGATACTAAATATGATTTTCAACTGAGATTGATTACTACTTCTGGCCAATATTGGTCTGAGAAGATTGAATTACATACTCATAAGATGACGGATATGTCAGGTATTACTGTTTGTTTAGGTCCTTTGGAGGCTAATTTGAATATCACTGAAACTCAGATTAAAAATTGTTTAGAAAGTGTAGGTGCAAGATCATTACAATATCATGTGGCTATCGATACTACACATTTCATTTGTAATGATTTAGATAATGATAAGGATGAAGATTTATTGAGAGCGAAGAAAAATAACATTCCAATTGTGAGACCTGAATGGATTAGAGCTTGCGAAGTTGAAAAGAGAATTGTAAGTGTTAGAGGGTTTTATTTGGATGCCGATCAATCTATTTTGAAGTCATATGGTTTCCCACCCGTTAATGAGAGAAGGATTGAGGAACCAGTTGCAGAGGAACCAGTTGCAGAGGAACCAGTTGCAGAGGAACCAGTTGCAGAGGAGCCAGTTGCAGAGGAGCCAGTTGCAGAGGAACCAGTTGCAGAGGAACCAGTTGCTACTGAAGAACCTATTACTGAAGAACCAGTTGCTACTGAAGAACCTATTACTGAAGAACCAGTTGCTACAGAGGAAGCACTCGTAGAGGAACCAACTACTGTTGAAGAACCTATTACTGAAGAACCAGTTGTTACAGAGGAACCAACTACAGAGGAACCAACTGCAGAGGAACCAGCTGCTGTTGAAGAACCAGTTGTTACTGAAGAGTCTACTGTTGAAGAACCAGTTACAGAGGAACCAATTACAGAGGAACCAATTACAGAGGAACCAGTTGTTACAGAGGAACCAATCTCAGAGGAACCAATCTCAGAGGAACCAATCTCAGAGGAACCAGTTACAGAATCAACTAATCTTGAAACCGGGGTAGAAAATGATGATGATGACGATGATTTTGGTGAAGAACAATCACCCGTTGATGCAGTGACCACAGAGGATACGCCGGCTACAAACACTGCCACTACCACGAACAAGAAGAACAAGAAAAAGAACAATAAGAAAAAGAACAAGAAACGTAAGTAAGTAAGTAGGCAAGTATGTAAAAATGTCTATATGAACAACCATCTCAAGCACTTCTACCAAAGCCCTAGCCCTCGCCCTAGCCCTGACCCCCAGCCCTGGCACCGGCCCCAACCGCCGAACCCGCCGAACCCGCCAGAAAACGAGGCTTTCGCCCGCCGCGAAAAGAAAACCAGAAAAACCAGAAAATCTATTTTTAACAAAGCAAAACGACGCGAAAAATACGCCAAAAAAACCAAAAAAATTCAAATTTTCGGTTTTCAATTTCTGCTCGCTTTTTTGCCTAAAGAGGTGGCAATCCTTTTCCCTTCGCCTCCCCCTCCCCAGAGAAACAGCCGCACAACAGCCGAGGATTCCTGGATTCGAATTCTGAAAACTTTGTTTATTTTTAAACCGAATCTAAAACTCAGCAGACCCCAAATTTTTAAGTGCCAATTCCATTCCATGTCAATACCGGGAGAAGCAAAGAAAACTGGTTTGAAAGGTCTATCACATTTGCCAGTTTCAGCTTCAGTTTCTTCTTTGGGTTTTCGATGGATTATGGGTATTATTGCCAGACAGGCTGGGTGGGTATGTCGATGATCGAGTAGAATACCTGACACACACGCACAAACGAACGCACGCTTTGCTATAACCTTGGTTAATGGTGATCCTTGCTTCTTTCATTTCAATTTTCGTTAAATCTTGCTCTCTCTGAGTTCATATCTGATTCGGTAAAATATCTCTCTCTCTCTCTCTCTCGCTGTTTTCTTTTCATCTTGCAGTACTGGAAACAATATTCTTGATTCATATCTTTACACTGAAGAATAAATTCATTCTCTTCCAAACAGAACTTGTCGAGATTATTAAATTATTTCCCAATCCTCATCACTGTTTCAAGAAAAGACACATTTTCATAGAAAAGAAGAAAGGTTTGCAAATATACACTTACTCCTATCACTCATCGTCTGCTTTTTTAATTTTTTTCGTTTCTTTGTCGTTTTTGATTTTACTTTTCAAGTTTCTTTTAACTTACCTAGAATCCTATATATCATTGATACTTTAAATCAAATAAATTGAAGACTTTAACCAGTCGTCAAGCCGTTAACTTCATATTGATTTTCATTCCTAATCATTATATTTCAACAATCTTCCATTTTTTTTAAAAAAAAAGAGATAAACTACAGTGTTAAATCCATAAAGAATAATATAATGTTACTACCGTCTCTAATAATACGTATATTATTACTTTCGACATATTCTTCAATAGTTTGGTCGCAAGATGTTGCAGCAGATAACAACAGCAATAATAATAACAATTCTACAATGGATGATAATTCTCAATCCAATCAAGGAGAAACCTCTCTCTTATCATCATCTTCATCAATTACTGGATCAAATTTAAATGGTCTAGATGGATCTCGTTCAACTCTTTCAACAAGTGATTCTTTATCTAGTCAATCTGAATCAATATCATCATCATCATCATCATCATCCTCATCATCGTTGTCTTCAATCACTTCTACATTCATTGTTTCATCGAGTTCTAGTCGTAACCCCAATTTTCCATCGATAATAAGTAATTCTTCAACTCGTTCAACTTCGTCTACCTCTTCTTTTTCTTCTTCCTCCTCATTTTCTTCTTCTACAAGTAGCAGCAGTGTTACTTCATCTTCATCTTCTAGATTATCATCTTCCATTTCCTCATCAGATTCTACTTCTTCCTCTTCATCATCATCTATCACAGAACGTTCCTCTTCTACAATAACATCAGCTTCATCTTCCGATACAAACGATTATGGTAGCACAATTACAAGTATTATTCATGGTAAGACAATTCTTTCAAATCATTATACCACAGTTACTTATTCCGCTACAGCAACAGCAGGTTCTAAGAATAGTAATAATAAAGGAGGTCTTTCTAAAAAAAATAAAAATATTGTCATTGGTTGTGTAGTTGGTATTGGTGTGCCTTTAATCCTTGGTCTCTTAGTCATAATTTATTTGTTTTGTATTAGATCAAAAAAGACAGATTTTATTGATTCAAATGGTAACGTTGTTACCGCATATCGTACAAATAAATTTACTAAGATTTGGCATAATATGATAGGTAAAAATCAAGATGATGATGAGTATGAAACTAATGAACCATTAGGTACATTGGCTCATGATAATGATATTGATGACGATGATGAAGCTGTACGCGGATTATCACATCAATTACATAATAACGATATGGATTTGAGTCATAGTAGTAATAGTTCTACTAATAATAGTGAAAATTCATTAGACTCAACATCTCGTAAGAATAAAAACCAATTGAATAATGATGGATCATTATCAGGATCCAATAATTTTATTAGATCCAATGACTTATTACTAAATGAAGATAGATATTATGATGAAGATGGGAATGAACTTAATGCAAAAATGTATTGATCCATCTTCTTTAACTCTATTTTTTTAAAAAAAAATATAAACTTTTTTATCTGACGTTCAGTTTAACTTCAATTCGCATTATCATCATCATTATCATTATTATTCTCCCCAAAAAAACATAAAATATACATTCGCATCTTCATTAATTCTACTAATAAATCATTCAACTAAGAAAGTATAATGTTTATACTTTTCTTTAAAAAAAAAACAATAAGAAAAATTTTAAATAATAAGTTATTTGGATAAATATCATTCTCTGTGTTGTTTCTTTTTGCAAAATTACATAAAAAATTTAATAGTAAAAACATATTTTTGTTTACTTTATATTTACAGATATAGTTATAAGTATTCTACATAATCGTACATTCTCGAATACCAAAGTTGTCAAGGATATAGAAAGAATGTATCTTTTTATTATATGAATCATAACTATTACTAACGTTATGACATTTTTAATTAAGAAAAACTAATTAAAAGAAGAAGCAGAACATTTAAATTAATTCCAAAGAAATTTTCAACATTAACTTGTTGTCATGTTCGATAGTGACAGATGTTTTCTTATTTTGACCAGTCAATTTATTTGTTGCAAAATTATTGTTCAATTCACCAAGTTTATCAATGATGGTAGAACTCACAGTACCATATTTAGCATATGTGTTAATAACTTCTCTTGTATAACCATTATTTTCTTCTTTACTTAATTTTTTTCTTAAATTATTAACCAGAGTACCAAAAGATATTCTATGTGATTTGGTAATCATTTCAATACCAAATGGAGTAATACATACGCTTTCTTTAACTCCTGGTAAAATATTCCCACCTAATTTACCGATTTGAACAGAGACACATTTAAGACCATGTTCTGAAATTTCATAGTTAAAAATATCACCTAATGTATTCATCTTAGCAATAGTATTATTTAATAGATGACTCTTTGTCTCTAGTAACTTTGTGCCCAAATCTTCGCCGATCTTAGTAAATAGATCGTTAACAGTACTAGTTTCAGGTAATGCATTGTCCATACCAACTATAATATTTAACATTAAACTTGAAATGAATGCTAAACTGTTAAATACACATGAACCTGCAGCAAATCCACCTAATGGTGCAGCAGAACAAGTAATGAAAGTACTTGTTAAAGTAATAATGTTTAAAGCAATGTTTAGGTTGACATCTGTGTAATCAACAGCAGCAGTTTTGAAAAGAATATTATTTTCAATAAATGATGTATTTGTGGAAATGTTCATACTTAAATTGGATGATTTTTCTTAGTTCTTCTTATTACTTAAGGAAATAGGAAAAACTTAAGAATTGAAGAGCATAATATTCTTTCCAATTTTATACCAATTGAAAAAAAAACATTTCACTACCTAATATCGATGTTAAGCTTAAATGATGTCGATAGGTAAAAGTCATAATATATATTGTGAAGTTTACCCATTTTCACTTAACTTTTCATTGATTAAATGGGTAAAATCACACTTAATTTCTAAAAACAATATTGAATGATGGAAAATGGTTAAAACTAAAAATATTTGCTCAAGGAAGAAGAATAGTCAATTTATTATTTTCCGATAATAATTTGTAGAAGTATAGCATTACCTCTTGCCTCATTGAACTTCATCCACACACACACACAAGAAAAAAGTCATTTGATAAATCTAGTTTTTTATATGCCTTTAATTGTCGGAGTTTACTTTTTATGCTCAAAAATAGAGTAGAATATGATGTTTTCTATTTATCAGAAGTTTTCTTTTAAAAGTATCTGAATATTGTGTGTCAAAGGGTATATATCAAAAGAATTTCCCTTTTAGTAACAATACTTCTTTTCGCGTAGATATTTCCTACAAAAAAGAAGTGACAGATGAGGTAAAGTGAAATG